CTATGTATGTCTTTTCCTATCAAATGCGTCTCCTGTAGGCAGCATATTGTTGGGTCTTGTTTTGTGATCCATTCTACTAGCCTGTGTCTCTTGATTGGTGAGTTTAAGCCATTAACATTTAGGGTTATTATTGAGATATGGGTTGTTCTTCCAGCCATATTTGTTTATTTATGTTACTAAATATGGTTTGTTTTCCACTTTGATTATTTTCCCCCCTTTAGTGTCCTACCTCCCACTGTTGGTTTTCATTGTTATTTTCCATTTCCTCTTCCTGTAATGTTTTGCCAAGGATGTTTTGAAGAGATGGTTTTCTAGCTGCAAATTCTTTTAACTTTTGTTTATCGTGGAAGGTTTTAATTTCATCTTCCATCCTGAAGCTTAATTTCGCTGGAAACACAATTCTTGGTTGGAACCCATTTATTATATTTTATTGATTGATTCATTTATTCATTTTCATCATGTGGGGATTGAACCCTGGGAATTGCACAGACTAGGCAAGCACTCTGCCACTAAATTTCATCTCTAGTCCAGAATGTGCCTCCAGCATGCCGAGGGGTGGGGTGGGGCATTGTACATACCTTCTGGGTGGCCCCATACCATTTTAGAAATGATTCCTCTGTACCAGTCAGGTTCTGGCTTCAATCAAAACAAACAAGAAAAATAAACATGACTACTGACTGATGAGAATACAGTTCTGTTATGTCTTTTTTTTTTTTTCAAATGTACAACCTTTACTATGTTCTAAGTTATATGGGAAGGCACAAACTACAGAAGACAAGGAAAGAAAGCTTTCCTATTTTTAATAACACTGAGGCACAGACTCAGAATCCAGGTAAGGTAGCTGGGGCTATAAACAGTTGCCGCAGTCTGGCTGGGCACAAATCACGAGCCACTGAAGCAGGAACAAACTTTATTTTTAAACTGCAGGAAAACACTTCACACAGCTCCTGGGGAATCCTCCCTAACGAGCCACGAGGCTTGTCCAGGAACCCCCAGCAGGAAATATCTCTCCCGGAAATCCCTCCTCCTGCACTTCCCCAACCAATGGGAACTCTCAGGGAATCCCCGGAAATCCCCACGAGAACTCCAAAATAGTGCGAGAACTCAAAAGTTGCGGCAGAGGCGGATAGTAATGCCTCGCCTGTCAATCAATACTGTTGGCAAAATGCCAGGGGCCATACAGACTCAGCCGTGGCTCTCAGCAAACAGTTATTAAAAGACTCTCCATTCCATGTCACAGATAATTAACTCCTTAATGCAACATCCATCTTGATGAAATATAATTTGAGTAGTGTGTGCTGATATGCATAATGATCATACTCCAAGAAAAATATATTTAATATATTCTAAGGGTTTTGTGGAAGTTGCTGCAAAACAAAGAATTTGAAGTAAATAATTATAAAATACAAAAATAAAAAACCAGGTTTTTTTTTCTCCAAATTCCTGGTTTAATAAGGACTTGTTTATTTTGAGAAAAAAGGTCCCAAACATCAGGCTGTTCACAAAAATAACCCACAGTATCAACTTTAGAAAACAAATAAAGACTATTACACTAATTATTCTTCTAGAGGATGCATTTAATATGCCAACTCTCATTCACAAAAATACATTGTTACATTTGTGTTGAACAGCCCCAAACAGGACTATTATGTGGGGGATAACACACATACCTCTAAAACTCAAAGCTGCTCTCAGGTGCTACAACTAAATGAGATTGCCTTTGCAGTTAGGGAAGCAACTACTGAAATCATGTATAAATGGAAAGAACTGTACTCCCTGCATAACAAGAGATTATTTTGGAGACAGTTGATAAAAACCATACATCCTTTTTATTGTTAAGTCATAAAGAGGTATCAAAATTAAAAGCAAAAATTACAGGGTAAGACTTAACAAAACTACTAGGAGCGTCAAAGGAAGTGAAAATGGGACTAGGCGCAGGGCAATATGAATTAATGAACACGGGAAGGACAAAGATAGGGAGAACAGTGAGCATGTGCTGAAGATACTAGGGGAGAGGATCTGGTGAAATTTTGATCTTAAGACAAGCGCCTAGGTAAAGAAATAATGGGTAAGATTTCTAAACCCCACTATGTGCTTAAGAGTCATCCTCGCCATTGGCGCTGTCTCTGTCATCCTCTCCTTCCTCTGCCTCTTTTTCATCATCCTTGATCAACTCCAGCTGGTCATCCCCCCGATCTTCATTATCATCATCATCCAGTAGATCCCCCTCCTCAGCAGAGTCATCTGCACCCCCCTCAGACTCCATCTTCACATTAGTTTCATCTTTCTTCAGGGAGCTGCTGCTCTGCTCCTCTTCCGACTTATCATTCTTCGTCTCTACTGCTTGTTTGCTCTGCTCCTTTTCAATTTTTTCCAGGCTTTCCAGAAGAGAATCCACTTTTTGTTTTATTTGGGTCAGCTCCTTCTTAATGGCCTGAAGGTCATCTCCTTTCAACTTTCCAGACTTGGAAGAAGATCCCCGCTGTCCACTCTTAGAATTGAAGCCACTTTTGCCCCTTCGGGAGGTGTTTCCTGAAACACGCTGGCGTTTAGAGGGCACTACAGCCCTAGCAATAGGAGGAGGAGGAGGAACTCGTGCTGGGTAACTATACATCCTGTCATAATAATCGCGTTGAAAGTCATAGTCCAAGTCAAAAGAGGAGCTGAGTAGAGGGGACGGAGAAGGGTGTTCTGGTACTGACCCGTACATCTCCGCTGCAGATCGTTTCACACCTGCCTTTCCTCTGTTCACTTTTGGCTCTGCAGCCAGATTAATATCTAAAACCTAGCCAGCAATCATTCTGCCATCCTCTCCTGCTACAGCAGCCCGAGCATTTCTCTCATTAACATACTGGACGAAGGCAAAGCCCTTATGGACAGAGCAGCCCACAATTTTTCCATACTTAGAGAAGATTGCTTCCACATCAGACTTCTTGACCACCAGAGTGTTGAGATTCCCAATGAATACACGGGAGTTCATGGAGCGTGGATCTGTCTTGTTGGTAACGTTGCTAGCCATCGTGTTTGATGAGGTTCCTCACAAAGGCGGAAGAATGTAGCTGAAGATCAAAAAAATCTCACTCAGCAAAGATCCACTAACTTATATATTTCAAGTGATTTGTAACCAGGAGGGGGAGGGAGAAGAGATTCGATTCTGAATTTCCTACTCCCAGATTCTATATGAAGAAGTCGACCGCTGCTCGAGGTCAACAAGGCAGCCGCAACCGCTCAGCCTTCGTCTCTTCACAAAATGGCAGTTCTGTTATGTCTTGAAAAAAAAAAAAAAAACACTTTTGATCAATAGAGTAGCACTTTATGCCAGATAAATTTATTTTCTAAGCAAGAATTACTCACTTGAGCAAATGGTAGTCAACCTGCCTTCATCTTTTGGGGGGTATATATAAATCCAGTGCAATGGACTCCTAGGATATCTGTTCATTCTGTGTTGAAAACTGAGTTAATGTTGATGGGTGTGGTGGCTCATGTCTGCAATCCCAGCAACTGAGGAGGCTGAGTCAGAAGGATTGCAAGTTGCAGGCTAACCTCAGCAACTTAGTGTGCCCCTAAGCAACTTAGTGAGACCTGTCTCAAAATAAAAAACAAAAAGCTAGGAATATAGCTCAGTCGTAAAGCCCCCCTGGGTTCAATCCCCAGTACCAAAATATTCATCCTCATCAGTGAGTCTCCTGTGTTCTCTGATAACAGAGCGTTGAGAGTACACTTTTGGAATAATAGCAGTGGTTAAAAATACCAGAGAATGGCTCCTTGGTGACCAGATAGGAAAATAATGCAGGAGGATAGCCAGTCTCTGCATCCATTTTCCCCTTTACCAAAACAAAACCCATTATTGCTGGAAGAGACTTTTACAAACCCAGTTCTCCTACTTCATGGAAGGGACGAAAAACAAACGAAATGGCTTGTCTGCAGCTCCACAGTGACAGAACGAGGAAGGGAGTCCAGTTCTCCTTGCTGTTGTCCATATTCTCTGCATTTTCTCCCTTAGGAAGATTGTCTCACAAGTGCCATTTTTAAAGTGATAGTCCTGCAACCAAGGTGCGAATGAAGCACTTGCTTACAGATTACTCACTGTCCCTAAATTTACTGTGTTCAACAGATGAATAAGACATTTCTTTGAGCAATTAAGAAATTTGAAAAGTAGTTCTGTCTTAGAAGGCACCCTTTCTTGAGGTGGCATTTATCCTTGAATTTGATCTGTAAGGTATGTCTCTGTTGAATGTTTCACTAGAACTTAAACTGTGTCTAGCACAAAGCATTCTACCATTGCCTTTGCATGAGCTGAGCATCGTCATGTGCTGGTCTGCTGAAAAACCAGCCTCTACCTCAGAGCAAAGCCTGTCCAAGGAAGGGACATGACCTTTGTCCTTGGAAAGACCCACAGAGCACTCCTAGGCACATTCCCACCCTGCTAAGTTGTTTATCTACAAATAATAGGAGAGATCTGCTGCTCCAGGTATCCCTGACTCAGTCAGGCTAGGTGGGGATCCATAGCAGCCCCCTAGCAGCCACCAATCAGCATGAGACAGGGAAATACCTGGGATGCCAGATAACCCTCCCAGTAGTTTATGGTGGTTGATAACATGTTGGGAAACCATGTAGTTCAGCACATACACCCCTTTTGGCTTAAACCAATCAGTTCAAACGAATCCCCCTCTTGTAGTAACCAATCACCCCTACCCAACTTGTTCCCGCCAGTGAATGTGCTAATTGTTAGGGTCTGTAAACAAGTCAAGATGGTGCCTGGCATTTTGCCAGAGGGAGTGGTTTGTGAAGTAACGCCAGCGAGCCATTAAGTGTGGAGATTCCTTATTGGTTGACTGCTGTATCTAGTTTATGTTAATTAAGATAAGCTGTGTGGAATGTATATATACCCCTCCTGTCCTACAATAAACGGCTCCCACTCCTACTGCATCAACCTTCACAAGTTGCTCGTCACCCCCCCTCCCACACTGGCTATTTTGCCCAGCCAGCCGGGCTGCGGCAGCTAATCATGTTTTAGAGTTGTTATTTGATTTTCCCGCGGTGTGTGATGATTTGCTAAGAGATGCTATGATGTATGTGGGGGTCCCTGCCTTCTCCAAAGAATGTATAAAACTGCTGCAAACCCTGGGCTCAGGGCCTCTCAGCGTCACCAGTTGCTGTGTGTGCGGAGGACCGAGCTAGCTCGCAATAAACACCTCTTTGCTGTTTACATCGATCTTGGTCTCTGGTGGTCTTTTGGGGGTCCCGAATTTGAGCATAACACTGCCATTTCCTTGTTTGTGTGCAGGTCTGAGTGTGTAAGAATCCAGTTACTAGCCCAGGATGAGGTCCTATCCCCCAGTTAGAACAACATGCTGTCAAAAAGGATAGATTCATTCTTTAAATTCCTAATAGTTTATTTACATCACAGAAAGACAAGGGATCCCAACAATTGGATTTTTCCCCCTAGTACCGTTGATTCAATTCAGGAATATTCTACCTCTGAGCTAAATACCCAGTCCTTTTTATTTCATTTCAAGATAGGGCCTTGCTAAGTTGCCAAAGCTGGCCTCAACCTTGCCATTCTCCTGCCTTAACCTCCCAAGTTGCTGAGATTACAGGTGTGCCTGGTTCCCTCATAAATTGGATTTTGCAGAGACTGTGTGGGATAAAGGGTTGGGTTGAGTCCAGAGATCCTGCATCTCAGTGCTCAGGCCCAGAATGCTGATGTCCCAGCATACAGAGGTCCACGCAGAGGTTAGCAGTGCTTACCTCCTTGAAGGTTGTGCAGCTCAGGAAAATGATGCTCGTCCTGGGAGAAGGAGAAAAAATATGAGTCTTGAGAAAACAAACAAATTTTATTGTAGTCCTTCCTCATAGCAGGGTAAGTGGGTCACTGTAACAGGAAAAGAAAAGATGGCTAAATATTCAGCCACATTATCTTGCTTAACTACAAATCTAAAGCTGACACACCAAAATGGTGGGCATCAGGAGAAGCACAGGTTATCACATCCAAGTTTGGTATAATTGGGAGATGTAAGCAAAGCTGAAAGAAATAACATTTATCAACCATGCACCATGAGTTTACTGCTGAGCTTGGAAATACATATACCTGACCATGGATTCTTAAAAATCTCTTTCTTTCTTTACTGGGGATTGAACCCAAGGGTGGTTAACCACTGAACCACATTCCCAGCCCTTTTTGTATTTTATTTAGAGACAGAGTCTCACTGAGTGCTTAGTGCCTCTCTAAGTTGCTGAGGCTGGCTTTGAAATCACAGTCCTCCTGCCTCAGCCTCCCTATAGGTACATTACCGGCTCCTGGTGAATTCTTATAAATAATAAGAGGCAAGTATTGTTTTACCCTTCAACAAAGATGCAGAAACTCAAGAGAGGTTAAGATACTAGTCTAAGATCACATGTTATTCATCTGGTAGAGTAGGGCTCAAATTAGGGTATCACTGACTTCAAAGCTCATGTTCTTTCTGGAACACTGAACCAGTGAATAAGTAGAATAAATAAATAAATTGGACTATTCATTTTTGTAGGAAATTACTCCCTTAGTAAAATAAATAAGTAAACCAATAAATAAAGTGACTCAGAGGAGTCTCAGTTATAGATGTGCTCCCAACCAGCACGTATATTCCCGGCAAAAGATCAACCTAAATGGACAGTGTTGACATAAACTACTGGAGTGCAGTATGATGTGTTCTTGTTCCACGTGAAGAGACAGCAGTGAGGAGTAAGCCAGTGAAGGAAAGAACTGGGCGTCTGACCTCCTTCTAGATGCCTGGTGAGGAAGGATTGAGGTCCCTCCTAGGTGGGTTCTCATGAGCTCTTGCTTAAAGTGGGACTGCCAGAGGGGTGTTTTCCTGTATGTTCCTCTTTAAGAGACCTTGCTGAGAAATTCATTGCATACATTTGAAGATAATTTTTTTTTCTCTCCCAGCGTCTAAGCTTTTCTTTTCAATTCTCATGGTTACACTACATCATCAAATAAATAAATATCTTGCCTCCTGTGTTCGATGCTTTCTGTTTTTCAGATTTGCAGAACAATCAAGAGTCAGAGATTCCAGGCAATGGCTGTAGAGCTACCACTAACTCACACTCGTAGGGAAAAGGACCAACGGGGCTTTGTGGCACATGCCTGTTATCCCAGTGACTCAGGAGCCTAAAGCAGGAGGATTGCAAGTTCAACGCCAGCCTCAGCGACTTAGTCAGACCCTGTCTCAAAATAAAAAGGTCTGGGAATGTGGGTCAGTAGTTAAGTGCCCCCTGGGTTCAATCCCTGGTTTAAAAAAAAAAAATCAGGAAAAAAATACAATCATAAGTTTTTTTTTTTTTTTTTCTGTAAACTTTAATAGTTTTGCTTACCTCAAAATTCACTTACCTTTCTTTTTTAAAAAATAACTTAATGAATTATGTGATTAAACTCAAAATTGGTAAGACTGATCTTCAGGCAGGTGAAATCTATTACTTAATTAGTCTACCCTAATTTTTTCTCCACTTTTGTGTAAATAATATCTGCTGGGCTGCAGAATGTGTGAGCTGCATGTACTGAAGATGCTAGGTGAGGAAGAAGGAAAATCAGCCCAACACCAGCTCTCTAAGCTCTCTCAGAGAACCACTGGGAGGCAAGAATCTCAATACTTAAATCCAGCACCAGAAGCTGAGATCAGCCTTTTAATGTGTCTAAACTGTAGATAAATTATTGTTACCATTAAATACAACATGGTGATTTAGCATGGCTTTAATTGGATTCGGGCAATAAAAATACCATTCGCTACTAAAAAAAGAAATTCAAAATTTGAAAATGGAGGTTATACAACCTCTTTATGGCAAAAGAGCAGTCTTTGAAAAGTGGTCCTTCTTACAATAGAAGCTGATTTTATATTCCTAATGAGGCATGGGAGACAAAATCTATTCTTGAAACGTTTCAGCTCTCTCCAGTGTTCTCTATTTAATTAGAATTACTCCCTATACTAATCTCCCCAGCTAGCAATCTAATAGCCATTAGCAGAACCTATTTACTGTTTAACTTGCTGCTTAAATTTGAGGCTTGATTCCAAAGATTTAGGCAGGTAATCAAGAGAAGTTCTGCCTTTTAAGTGGCATCCTGGCCTCATCTTTTCAATGTATGCACAAGAACCTCCCTTGTAAGATCACAAATAAATAAATTCAAAATCCTACT